AAATTTTAGCATTTCGACAGGGCTGGTACTTTTCAAAAAAGGCTATAAATCGGGATCATGTAGATGATAATTTCGAAATTACTGTTTCAGAGCATAAAAGTCAAATCTCAAAAGCTTACGGACTAAAAAAATGACTCATGGCAGTTGTAGATTTATTAAACCCCAAAGTGCTGCAGTAGTGATCGTTAGACGACGACGGAAAATATCTGATCGGACTGTTACCGCTGCTCGTTTTCATGGCTTTTTATTTGGCCCCAGACGATGAGTTTGTCCATGGAGTGGCGCCCTCGTCCTTGACTGATGAGGTTATGCACGGGCTGCTGATTTAGAAACATTGATTGAAACAGTGCTTGTGCAGCTGTCACTCCTAGGACTGCGGAGAGTTCCGTTTTTTGGGCGGTGTAGGGCACGTCTGCATTGTGTGAATACTGTCGCGATTTGTTGGCAAACAGAGGAACGGCCAGAAATCAGCGGAAAATAGTACGGAGTTCATCCGTGAAACCTGCAATTCCGTTCGACGTTGCAGCTAAAATGTAAATGAAAGGAATGACGCTGGGGATGCTCCAACTAATTGTCTAGGATTGTTACACAGTTATTCGTGTTCTTTTACATGACTGCTATGTGTTTCTTCTTTGTAATATTCAGAATCGGCTGGAAGGGAGAAAGGAGGCTGAGGCAGTGGAGGAAGGTTGGGAGAGACGGGGAGAAGGAGGGCTGAGGTTACGGGCCATACGAGGTCACGCAATTTAGCTCAAGGATGAAACAAAGACAGGTTACCAAGTCACTGTACATAGAGGCTTGCTCATTTGGGAGATCTAAATGGCTCATCCGATTTTTCATTAATTGTCAAAATTCGATTGTATTCCTCTCCACGGTAGGCCAACATCGCCGGACAAACTGCATATGTTAACAGATAGAAGATTTCAGGCCCTCATTCTCTTCTAGTCTCCTAGCCAGGGATATTCATTGTTTGTACCTTTAAAATTTCTGAAACATTTGCAAAGAGGATGAATAAATCCTTCATTGGATGGGTTAGTCTCGAAGCATGCTCACATTTGCGTACTTATCCAAAATATCGTCAACTTCGCGCAAATCGCTCATTTTTTCTGTATGACCTGGTTTTGGGAAGGTTCATAGTCCGCTGAAGACGAAATAGTCCATCAGCACGACACATTAGTATGGCATGTCGATCTGACGTGTCGCTTTTCCATTCCTGCTCAAACTGCTGCTGTGGAGTTACGATTTTGCTAGGATTGTCCACGTGGTGGACCGGACTCTGTTCCGGTTTACATTTCTCCATTTTGTTGCCATTATTACCAGCAGGTAATGGCTATCGTTTCGAAGAGCATTGAAGTGGTTTTTCTGAAGTATGATTTTTGTCTGAGAAAGAATAAGTTAGTTTTTTGCAGAAAGCGGTGTTTTTTTTTGCTAAGTTTTACTGTTTGCTTCACTTGCCTCTAGAGAGTGGGAAAAAATTTTGGCCGAAGAAAAAAGTTTTTTTTTTTGGAGGGAGGGGTTGGAGCCATGATTTGATTTTTGATTCGTTTACACATCTGCTACTGGTGATTATTCGAGCTTTCCTGGTCATGTGCTTTTAATTCTAGCAAAAGTCACTATGTTGGAGCGAACTTATTGTTGTTTTAACCTGTGAAGCTAATATTGTCGTTTCCAAAGTATAGAGATTGCTGCAAAATGTAAAAAAAGTAGTCACAGATATGCATTTGTGTTTTGTCCTACTTTTATTGCTGGTGGTTTTTGCTGTGGGCACCAGTTAGTAGTGCCCGCGACAAAATGAACAGTTAGGGAACCCTCAAGAAGATGGCACACATCCATCGCCGGCAAGTACCAACTGAGGCTTTGCAGTCCAGGATCCAGGGGCATTGAACAGCCTTGTCTGGCATTTGAAAGCATCGCAGTGATAACACTAATAATCGGCTTTATTATCAGATAGTGCTGTTACACTTGGATCTTTATTTTCTGTCATAGTCATTTATTCGTGAATATTATGCGTTTTTTGCTTATATGCACATGCAAAAACTCATATTGGCAAGAGGCTATCTGTATGTGTGTATCTGTATGTTTGCCTATCTGTGGGCACGCAATTTCTGTCACCCACTTTCAACTCGAGAACCAGAAAAGCTAGAAGGCTGAAACTTCGAGAATATGTACCCACATCATGCGCGACGCTCTTATTTTAATATCGTTGCCCGCGTACCCCTGCGTCTTACGTATGGGCGCCTTAAAAAATACGTAAATTTTTTGACGGGAAAGCAGTCTCGAGAACCAGATACGATAAAGAGCTGAAAATTTGCGCGGATATTTTTTGTCCATGTATGAGCTAAATATTTCAAATTTAGCCCTTATATGTTCGTGCTTTTCAGGCACGGACATGTGAGAGATTTTGCGGGAAAACTACTAACTCGGTAACCAGAAAAGCTGGAGGGCTGAAATTTTAAGAGGATGTTCCCTGAGCATGTATAATTTAGAGATTTCAAATTCATCCTGCAGATGTATGTGGTCCTCACGTGCCGGCACTTGAAATTTCTGGCAGGAAAATTGCTAACTCGGTAACCAGAAAAGTTGAAAGACTGAAACTGAAGTCGTCAACGTACAACTGGAAGGTTTCAAATTCGGTCCTCAGGCACGCGTGATTCTCACGTACAGGCTTATGAAGGTTTTGACAGGAAAATTAATAACGCAGGAGCCAGAAAAGCTGAAATCTTAGGGTAATCTTCCTTCTTCGAGCACAGTTTAAAGATTTCAAATTCCACCTCCAGGTATGCGTACGGGCACTTAAAAGTTTTGGAGGGGGAAACTGCTCACTGGACAGATAGATAATCTTCAAAGAACAACGTTAACGGAAATTACTTCATTTATGCAAAATTTGCAAGATTAACAGTAATGAGCGCACAAGGTGGGTGTAAAGCAACAACCATTCATGCAGTTAACGACCTGATTACTTCAAGTTTGATTCAAAAATGCGTTATTGCACCGGCTAGCCTGGTGCGTTTCAGCTATGATTTAGTGATAAATTGCTACGTTCAAGCGAACAGGCAGCAAAATGGAAAGGGGTGCTGTTTTGGTTAGAGAGTACTAAACAAGAGAGTCGGGATGGGCGGGAGAAAAGCATTTGTTTGAAACTGGCTCGGAGATTTTTATATAAAGGATGCATGAAAGGATCAAATAAAAATAACTTTGAAAGATAATCCGCTG